GTTGCAGTAATTCTGTAACTTTCAGAAGTTGTAAACAATGCAAATACATTATCTCTTTACATTTATTGTAAGAAAACGCTAGACAAGAACTGTTCTCATCTGACACAATGCCCAGAATGCAGTGTGGACAAACCTGCCGTCCTCAGTCATCTTATCAGCTTGTGGAGGACAATTGGTCAGGTGAAATTTTAAACCAGAGTGTGTTTTTTTTTCTTATTTTCCTTATATTCCTCTTTCCAGGTCTGCACTACACCCCATTGTCATGAATCATGACAATCTTAACTCTGTGTTAAATACTGTACATGAGTGCCTTACCACAAAATGTGAAGATTGCTTCTCTACCAATAGCTGAAGACACCTTAGAAATAGAGCAGCTGCAACTTTGCAAAGTGCTCCTGATGCAATGTACAGTGGCTTCAGAAAGTATCCCCACAACCAGATATTCTAATGCAGAGGTTCCCAACATTACAGCATGCGGCCCACATGACCGACCATAAAAACACAAGGACCAGGCCGTCCTCACCCTTTAAAATGGGCTAGCTCTATACCTCAGCAGTAGCCTAATCGACACCGGTAATCAGAGAAAATACGCATATACTGTACAAGCTACAAACAGCTTTACACAGACATTTTATTGATTACAGAAGGAGTCCAGTCAGCACCTTACAAAAAAATAAAAATAAAAATAAAAATAAGAAAAATATTGTAAAACCTAAGGCACCAGTACAGCTCTTTCTTAATTATAATATCTCTAGTACTTAACGTTAGCCTTGTCAGAAACAAAACTGAGCAAGCAGAATCAAAAGGAACTGAATATTTTTACACAAGTGCGGGGTAGCCTTCTGTACCAATTTATGAGGACATTGAGAAACAAAAATATGCACAATAACTACAAGTAGATTTTCCAATGGACGCAGGAATGCACACTCAATAGCCTTCAACTAGCCCGGCTGTAAACTCACGCACCTTCTTTCTGGCTCACCTAGTGAGAGGGCTGGTTCTTTTTGATACATATCAAATGCTGGATGTCGGGCTGCAGAGATGGATTTTGTTTGGCTTTAAAGTCTCGTTTGATAACACTTCGCAACACACAGCACACAGCGGCACCAGCTCATTCTAACTTCCCATTTTCTCTGTTTTAGTTTGTGTTTGGATTTTGGGTTTTCATTATAAGACACTGAAGCGGTTTCTTTGCTTGTAGATGGACCTTCCTCTGTGTTCTCGTAAGAGAACCAAACGCAAGCCACTTATCCATGACATGAAGCGTAGTTAGGCAGTTATACTACATTCTGCATTAGATTTCTTGTCATGTCACATACTGTATAATAGCGCCAAATGGCGGTCACGTCATGCCGGCAAGCTAAGCCATAATATATATAAATGTTTATATTATGTTATTTATATTATATATAATGTTATATATTTTCGACTGTTTTACAAACCAGACAGGGCCGGCGCAACCCATACAAGTGCAAGTAAATACTAAATCCCCTCTGGCTTCCTTCTGCCTCCGCCAATGCACACAGAGCAAGAGAGCAGAATTCAAATGGGCTAACATACTGAACTTGATACTTAGTAATGAGCTATTTAAAAGTTTAAAGCTTGACTCTTCGCAACAAACTTAGCGATGATATCACTGAAATCCACCTGCCTTGCAGTGCTGTTCTCTGTAGACAGCAAAGCCAGAGCTGACAGTCTGTCCTGTGTCATGGTGGACCTTAGATACTGTAGGTTTTGATCAATTTCAGTTTGCTAAATGAGCATTCAGCACTGGCAACAGCAGCTGGAATGGTTAAAAACACTTGACATGCTATCACTTTTTCTGGAATAGCAGATTTCATATCTTTATTGACCAAATACTGCAGTACTTGAAACGGAGTGTTGACTTCATTGGGGCACAGATGAGACAGAAACTTTAATTCAGTTGCCAAATCTCCACCATGTCTCTTAAAACAAGACAAGTTTGTTGCAGCTTCAGTTGAATTATCTCCGGTATTTTTAATGTCAAACAAAATGCAAAAAAGACAGCTGAATTCGCTCAAGAAAAAAAAAAAGTCCTTCTGTCTCACTGATGACAGTGTCCAGTAAGCAATTGCTAAAGTCAACTTTAAACTTTTCCTCTCTAATGGTCTTTCCTGTTCTTTGCGTTTCTCGCCGCCTGAGTTACATTTCTGGATCGATTTCATGTTGCTAAATGTAAGCCTGTGTGTTTCTCAGTCTTGCAGGGGTACAGCTCGCGTTATCCAATTCTACACATTTCGGAACGAACGCACCAATGACCAATTACAAATCATCTGCACAGCCGTGTTTTCCTAGATCATTGTGTTTTAATTTTAAATATGCCAGACTAATATTGCTATTGGAAAATACACAGCGTTCCCCGCCCCAGACATAAGAACCCTCGTTCGTTTATTTTACGGATGGTCTTTTCTAAAAAAAAAGTAATTTTAATGACGTTAGCAATGGGCCCCCTTAGATCTGGGCCCAGGTGCAATTGCACTCATTGCACCCTCTGTAGGGCTGGCATGATTACAACAATCATTTCATGGCTCACAGGTTGAAAACCACTGTTCTATTGCATTGAAATCATGAAATCATGTAAGATTCACACAACATGCAGAAATTTAAAGGGGGAAAATATTTCATTGTGGAACAATGGAACTCTATGAAAAATGAAAAACAGAAAAAAACTTTGATTACTAAAGTATAAGCCCCTTATGTTAACTTTTAAGAAACACTTTTTGCAGCAATAGCCTTCTTGGAGATTTCTAAATGTCAAATTTGCACATCTTTATTTGCCCATTCTTCCTTGTACAGTAGATGTGCCCAGTATCTGTTAAGCTAAATAGGGAAACTGCTGCTCAAGTTGTCTTAACTCTGTGGAAGTCACTGCTTTCCATTCTTATCTGCTCCACTCTATGTACAATGATTGACTGTTATACCTTACTGTATCTGTCTTATGTATTCTTTGGTGTTCTATAAGATAATGTGAAAATCGTTTATTTGTCCTTACAACTACTTAATATACTCTATATATCTGTTTCCTGTTAAAACGCACAGATTAGTGATCTAAAATAGAGAAAGGATATTTCTTAATGGTCACTTTTGAGCAGTTACTGTAATTTTTTGTTCCTGTGAAAACAAAAGACAAAGTTGTAAATATCGAGTGCTGTATGGAGTGGAAGGAAATTAAAATGGTTTGGTAAAGGAGGTAAAGGAAGAGAAAAAGGTGTATTAAGGAAATGTATTAAAAAATGTATTAAAAATAAAAATGTCCTCCGATGTTGGGGGTGTGGTAGAGGGAAAAAATAGGGAAACTGCATCAACCTTTTAACAAATTCACAAAGGGATTCAAGTCTAGGCTTTCTCTGGTCCACTCAAACGTTCACCTTCCTGTTCTGAAGCCACTCCAGGGTGACTTTGGTTGTATGCTTGGGGTTTTTGACCTGTTGGAATACGAAATTTCTCTCCAGTCTAAGGTCCTTTCCTGAGTCCTTTCATGAGTGTCCTCAAGAACTTGACTGTATTTGATTCCACTCATTGTTTCCTCTACTCTGATAAGCGCCCCCTTACCTGATGCTGAAAACATCCTTTTAAGATAATGCATGGTATGAGCTTTTTTTAAATTGTTCCAGGCATAGTGCTTTGTATCAGGCCAAAGAGTTCAATTTTTGTTTTATCAGAGCAGAGAACCTTTGGCCACATGGCCACAGGGCCTGTCTTCTTGTAAAATCCACATGTGCAGTTGTGTCTTTTTTTCAGGAGTGACTTCTATTTAGCCACTGTTACGAAGCGTCTTTCAGGACCCTATGCAGATGACACAATCCGGAAGGGAGTGAACACACGAGGAACAGGGCTGGTAGACGTACGGGGGGGGCGTGGTCAATGGCAAACAGTTCAAAAGGGAGTCCAAAGGGAAATCTGTGGTGAGGGGTGAACAATCGAAGACGAACAAGACAAAGTTAAAAGCTGGAGTGGGATCCGGCAAGGGGTCATAGACAGACGAGACAAAGTTAAAAACCGGAGCGGGATCCGGTGAAGGGTCTGGGGGAAAAAGGGGGGAAAGGAATCAAGTGCTCCAGGTCCTGGACTCAGCTGGTTCAGGAAGCCAATGCAGAGCCCAGAACAGAATGAGCATTTGGCTTTAGTAGGGAGGCAGGAACAGGGAGCAGGTGCACAACATCAACTAAAAAGTGAACGAGCCAGAGTGCCCTTAAGGGCGAGGGACTTCAATCGTGACAGCCACTCTCCCATAAAGACTAAATCTGTTTAGTACTGCAGAGGCTATTGTCCTCAGGACAGGTTCACCGATCTTAGAGGTGGATTTCTGTAGTTCTCTCAGGGTGGTTATTGGTTTCTTGGTCACTTTACTGACTGTGGTCCTTTTCCCCCCATTGCTCAGTTTGGAACAGTCTGCTTCACAACGAGTCTGGTTGGAGTGTGGTTCTGTATTCCTTCCATTTTCTAATGATCGACCTGTCTGTGCTTCTGGGAATGTTCAACACCCAAGATACATTTTTATACACCTGCCCAGAGCTACGCCTCCTCACAATTCTTTCCTGGAGTTGTATGGAGTGCCCTCTGCATAGTGTTCATAGTAAAGTTTAAGCTCTGACATGCACTGTCAACTAAGGAACATTTAGACAGGTATATTTTCTGAAATCATGCCAACCAATTAAACTGACTACAGGATGACTCCATTAAGTTTTAGAGTAATCTTATGAAGAAATTAGATGCACCTGGGCTGAATTTGGAGTGTCATAGAAAAGGTAGTGTATACTTATCAAATAAAGACATTTCAGCATTTTCTTTTAAACATGTAAAACATTTCCAGAGCTTTAGTTCTACTTTGACATTACAGAATATCAGTGACAAAACACCTACTGTATATGAGTATATTTTAGAGTCAGAAACTTAAAAAAATGTAAAATGTCCAAGGGGCTAAATACTTTCTGAAGGCAACGTTTTTATCCAAGCAATGTTTTGATTCCAATGCTCACCTTATTTTCTGTATGTGATGATCCAAGCATAAAGATGAAGTGAGCAAGGAAAAGACAGATGCTGAGGTTGAGGCACGCTGTGTTGTTTATCTTTGGATTCCAAGTACAGAAGGAGAAAGTTAGAATGGCCAGGGCCAGGCAGACTAGGTTAATTGAAACTGCTATTTTATTTATGAATGCTAGAAGGTCATCAACCTGAAAGATAGTAAAAAAAGGAGAAATTTCATACCTGGCATATGTAATGGAACAGACAAACCAAAATCCCTGTGATACAAATTGAGGTACTGCTTTCAGCAACATGGACTTGACTGTAAATTGAAAACTCATTTACAATCTTATTATGAGCTGCAACTGTTATGATGCGGCTGGTGGTTGCAGTGCTGCCAAGTTGACAGGTCAAGACCCAAGCGCAGGACTCCAAGGGGACCCAGAAAGACAAGCAGGAGTAGTGGAGAGAGATCTGAAGAGATAGGTTAGCTAGACAATTAAATGCTTCTGAATGCAGTCAGTGCACAGACTCTGAGCGAGAGAGCGGAAGGGGTTCCCCAGGATAAACAGACAGCAAATAACCAGTTCTAAAATAGGTTAACGGAGAAGTGGGGTCCCAAGTTATTGGTCTAGGGTCTCTAAATAAAGGCTTTTTTCAGTTGGAGATTGTTAAATAAATGTATAGCCAGAGTGGCTTGTCAGCTGTAGCTTAATGCAGTAGCTCTGATGTTAGAGCACCAGTCTAGTTGAGAGTCCTGCCTTAAATAGCCCGTCTATTGGGTAATTGAAAGGTCTCTTGAAAGGTAATTGGCTTAACTGATAGACATACTGACCTACTGTAGTTTGCAAGAGGTTGTTGGAAGGTGAATACAACTAACTGAATCTAACTGGATATGCAATATATATATATACTGTATACATATGACAGTTGGATTTCTTCTTAAAGTTGACAGCCTAGCCACCATTTCTTTTGCCCTTTTTATCAATGAATGTTCTGTAACTCTAGATAGTGTTACAATAGTAAATAGACTTAGTAGGTGTGACTCCACTGACTTAACAAATACTATACAATGAAACAGGGTTTCTGCTTGAACAGAGATGGCCGCCTAACCATTTTGTTTCTTTTTTTAAGAGGGTAGTAGGTGGTGATGACATAGCAGGTCCTGTCAAGCCACATTATACAGAAGACTTTTTTATACCCATTGCTGGTCATCACTCAGTAGTCAAAATGTAAGTGTATGGGCAATTATCTCTGAACATGGTGTAATTCTAGCTTTTCCTTAATTCACTTTTATTTTACTCAGACTGTTAACTGCTTTCGAGTTATTTTTGTTATGTTGTTAAAACTTGTGTTGATCACACTCAGATTCCAGATAGTTAAGCAACTTTATAACAGGCAGACACATAGGCCATAAAGTTTGGGATAAAAAATCTCAGGTTAAAACATTGTACAGATTGCATTAGAATTTGCAGACTTTACCTACTAATTAAAACAAATGGGCAAGTACATTTCACAGAAGATTTATATATGTTACAGGATGTGATACTTGTTCAAATGCAACCTAAATGTAAACAACAGAGTCATTATTCATTTCTCAAAATTAATTACCTCATGTTCCTTATCTATCTGCATTATCAGAGCAAAGGTGGAGAGGTGAGTACAGCTGCACACTGTGTGGGTTTCATTTGAATATGTTGCTGTGCAGCCTTTCACAGACCAGACCGTCTCCTTCCAATAGACACAGGTCAAAAGTCCATTTTCTAAATGGGACTAAAGAAAATTGCATGTCAACTGCATTATCAGTAAATATTATTTTTCTTACTCAGACCTTTAAACAAATATTGGTATAATTTTTAAAAGTTACAACAATCATCATCAGGTTTTAAAATGAATACTTGAATAGTAGATATGCACACAAGAGTAAAGCACATGCAAGCCAGGGCAGAGGAATGGTACACATACTGGTACACATGGTACACATACTGTAAGTATGGCAATTACAACAAATGTAAGCAGAATTGAAAAGTTCTTTATATGCATCGGAAAAGTGTGAGAGTTTTAAACTACATATAAATGTAAATCCTTTGGATTTTAAGTGCACATTTTATTAAAATTGGAGCATACGAATGGCCCCTAATTATTTATTTAAACCTTTTTTATCTAACTATTTATTTTGAAACCTTGGTGAGTAATAATTTTCACATAAGCACCAATCATTTCAATCACTGATGTGATTAAATTATCGATCAAATCAAATGACATACCTTTGTGTGCTTTAAAGTAAAGTTAACAGGCTCTGAGAGGTTGGTTGTCTTTGTTTTGGGTAATGTTGCAGTTATAACATCTGAAATCATCTCTGTCTGATTTCCATTCTCAAAGAATTCAACACTTAGAAGTTCTTCCATTTCAGTGTATGACATAAAAGCCACTGCTGCTGAACCTGATAACACACAGTTGTCAAATGCTTCTTTAAAATATGTAAAATACCTTTTTTTAAAGGGAATTTTTGTGATGCCATTTTTTATTTGTGATTTGAGACATAACTCTGATGCAACAATAAAATAGGAGTTTAGGCCTATATGTAAAGCACTAGGAATGATGGATAAGAAGCACATCATAAATCTATAACACAGACGTTGACATTGTAATATCAATTCATTCTCAACCTCCCTAATGATGAATGATCCAACATCACCCCTCTCAGTCTGATAAACCAAAAGGAAGACCCCCTTTACTTAGCCCATGGGTCAGAGGTCACAGTCAATTACCCAAAGGATGACCTTATTATGTTACATTAGGTATTTTATAAAAAGTAGGGGTCAAAATCCTAAAAAATGTGAAGATAAACTTACTTTCTCAAATTTTGTATTTTGAGAAAAATTAAGAATCACTCTGACTGTATAAGTGTAAATGTCAATGAAATCTGGGCCATGTTTATTTAAAGAAATACTAATCTGTAGATAACTTTTCTTTATTTCAATCTTCCTGCTTCCCTGGATGAATAGTTTTTAGGTTCTCTTCATTTACTCTGAGAACGAATCAAGTGCAAAGAATAAACCCCACTTTGCTGAAAATCCCTGAGTTTTAATAGTAATTGTAATTTTAGTAATTTGTGTTTTCTTAAAGTAGGTAAAATCCCACCAATTTTCCAACGATTTTATCCAACACAGGTGTTGGGGGAGAAGCAAGAGCCTATCGCTGAAATCAATGGGCATAAGGCAGGATACAGTACGAGTATGTTTTGGATGGGACACATACTGTACAAACTCCATGCAGATCACACCCAGGAATCAAACCCTGTGGTTTTAATCCAATGGCTATCAGGTAGTACAGCAGATGATGAGGGAAAGACCTGACAACTTGGGGAGATGGCTGACAACAGAAGAAACCCCCCAATAAGAGATAGACACCAGGCAGAGGTCAGCTGCTGCATGTTTCAGAAGACATTTCTCATTATCTAAAAGGTAAAATTCTGCTGTATACAGTGAGAGAAGAGACGGAGCATAACTCATTATTAAATAAATATTTAGAAAATCATATTATATAAATGAACATGTGAACTGTTAACAGTACGGTGTGAAGCAGAACAGAATAAGTAAAAGTTATAGTGAGGTAAGGCACTATACTAGATTTTTACCCATGGTTGAGGCAATGTAAAAAGGTTGAGTCTTTATGACTCCAAGGTTGAGTCTTTAAGAGTCATTAACAAAGAAACAAGACAGAGGATGAAAATAGTAATGACAGATCTGCCTTCAAGACTTTTAAACTGTGCATATGTTCATCATATTATTTAGTATGATCTGGTTAGAATCTTTTATTTTGTTTTAGAATGTTTAATTTGTTTTCAGTGATCTTTTATTTTCTATGAAACTATAATAGAGGTACATTAAGTAATTAGAAATTGTTACAATGTATACAGTATGTGTTTATGCAGTAAAATTGTTTTATTACATTACCTAATTTTGCTGGATGTAAGGTAAAACAATTAGAAACATAATTAATTCCATCCTTACTTACCCTCATTATTCTTAGCAATTGATGTCAAATTGATTTTCATTTCATTTGCTTTACTCTTCAGGAGAAGAATGTTTGTCTTTTCTGAACCACCAATCAAACGAGCCTCTGAAAGAGTTTAGTAGATATGTACACACTGTATTCCAACACACACTGCTACACATTTTATAAGACAGTTGCTTTACATGTAGAAAATACAGTAATATCTATCTTAATGCCTTTAATATAGCCATGCAAAGCATAAAGAGTAATTTTTCCAAAAACGTAATTTCCAAATATCAAGCTCAAATTCATCTGAAAATATGTGAAAAACTGACAGAACATGTAAACAAAAGATTAAATGGAAAATGAATAAAATAAATGCAAGAAACCATAATTATAGGATTATCCATACTATTAATAGTTCCACTACATACCAGTATTTAGTCTTTCAGTACTAAATTTATCTAGCAATGAAGGGCATGTACTTCTCACTCACAATGAACTAATAAGAAGACCAAATGTTAAAGCTGTGATTTATGAACTGTGCTCTTTACAGAGTTTTTGTAGCTAGCTGTGAACATAAATAGATAAATGCATTAATGTTAAAATATTTATGTACATGTTCTTTTTTGGATAACCAACATGAGCGGTGATATAATCAAAACTAGAGAATGTACTGTTTAGAAAAGGACCGTGAATGCAGAGGAGGCATATCTTTCAGTAACAGCTGAGCTATGGCTACCCTCCAGGTTACAGACAAGACAAGCAATTTGTGTCTTAAAATTGTGAATTGCATATATGTTGTTATAAGATATATGTTCTGAAAGAAAATTTAATATATTCTGTCTTTGAAATATTCAGTTTCTTACCTAGACTGTTCAATAGTATTGTTTCATTCACAGCAGTTTTATTTGTTGATGGAACCAAGGTGGACACCAGTTTTTCTGTGGTTTGTAAAACAGCATTGCTAGCATTTGCGTCTTTTTCATCTGACAACCTTTTAATGGTGCTCATAACAGCATTCAAGTAATTTTTCACAATCTGCATATGGAAAATAATATGAAAAACACCTGAATATTATTTTTTGGAACATTTATTAAAATCTTACAAGCATATGTATTAATTCAAATATTTTAGTACAAGGAATCATGGTTCATGACAGAATGATGAGAAGGGAGCCAACACTCAGAAGTAACATAAAAGGGTGTGGGTTTGCTGGTGGAGGAGGGACACATGCTCCTTAGGAGAGGCTTGCACAATACAAGTGTACAGTATGTACTGAATATGTTACAGTATGCTTTAAGATGGAGGAAGAGTCTTATTTTATATTTTAATTTGCAAATATATATATATGATTTATGTGATGTGCTGTCCCTGAATGCAGGTTATGTTAAATGTCATGACTGAAAATGATTGTCTTCAGCACTGTTATGTAGCTAACACTTTTATCAGGTACTACTGTATATACAACTGGGGTAATTTAAATGCTAGCATGTCTTTTCCTTTCCCTTTATAGTTAGTACAAAGCTTGGTATACACCAAATTTTCTCATGTGTGTTTGAGAATGAATAAACACATTACTGACCCCTTCATTTGAAACTGTAGTTTCATCGATTTCACTTCTTACTTTGTTGAGAAAACATATCTCCTTCAGCTGATCCTGGAAATAATAAAAAATACATTAATAAATGTCATGAGAAAGTAAAAGTCACAGTACGATTGAGACAAAGAAATTTGTCTTAAACGCTTACATAACAAGTTCTATAATGCTTTAATTCATATGATAATAAGGAGAGTGTGGTGCAGAGCAATCACTTTTGTCACCAAGACTCACAATGTTACTGTAACTATTCAATATTTCACTTTTACTACCTTAAACACAACACAATATTTGTTTTGCTATCAATAGTTGTAAGGATATAGTATGTTCAATATCACAGTTATATGAGAATAACAGAGATATCATATGGTCTTGACCATTATGAGTTAAGTCCACATGGTTGAGGTCACAAACGTTAGGTTGAATACAGTATGTGTTTCTTGAAACCGGTCTTCAGTATAAAGAAGACAATATGGACATTGTCTTAGACCAGTTCACACCCGCTACAACACTTCTAGTATGGCCCAGCAGACATTAAAAGTCTCACTGCCATTCAAAATCCAAATCCATTTTTGCAGATGATATGGGTCTAAATGCCTGATTTACCACTCCGGTTTCCACACACGACCAAAGACATACTGGTAGGTTAATTGGCTTTTGAAAACAAAAATGGTGCCAATATCAACAGCATATAACAATTTCCTATATAATGTGTATTATACATGTATTTATTGCTACTCCTTGGTTATTAACTTACCAATGGACAATCAGTTGCGTTAATTGCATCTTTATCAGCTGAAAGAGATAAAAAATAGAAACAACTTAGCGTTGCTAGCGTTGGAAGTTAGCCATAAGGAAGGGATTTCAGTATAAGAAATTAATAGTTTTCACAGATAGATTTTTAGGTGACTTGGGACTGATTTAAACAAAATATGTTGATTCTCTTTTCAATTACATACCCAGAAATTGATGGGTGGTTTTTTGTAGAAGCAAAGCACTTCTGTGAAAGAGTTTCCGTGAAGTACCAAAGTATCATTCAGTCTCAAGTACATAATGTAACTATAACAGGTCCAATGCCAGTAGAATTTATTCATTCAACCTATTGCAAATTTAGCATTACTTTTCAGGCTCCCCCTGCTTCTGTGGAAAACAAAATGTTTTCAGGCCCTACTGTATGCAAATCATGGAATTGGCAGCAGGTGTCGATATTGTACAGGTATGTCATATATAACCCACCCATTTCTGGCAACTAAACAAGAATCATACACAAGCTTAGAACCCTGCCATTTTGCTCTTGCAGATAAACTGATTCATTGTTGCTGTTGCTTATTCTACTAATTCTACTACACTTTTTCTCTGCCCCACTCTCCCAATCAACTTAATACCTTCTAAGCCCTGATAACTGTAGACTGGACTGTGGTAAATCACATTACAGCACATGGAAATGTATAAAGATGTTCAAAATTCCTCTCAGCTTCAACTTCTGGCAATGACCTGAATCCTTTTGTGCACAGTCCATTATATCTTCCTGTATTTTTAACATCTGATGTTTAAATAAAAACCACAAACCTTAAGTCAGTTTTTCAGGAGTGCTTTTTTAAAAAAACTTTTAAATAGTTACAAACTTTCTTTTTCTATTAAAAGTATACAGCTGGAAACTATTTACTCTATCTATGGATTTGATTCTCATTTTGTAAGGGTACACTTTATCAGAGTACCTGAATCTTTATCTGTCATAGTGCTCTCTTTAGGCTCAGCAAATTATTATCATTTAAAGGAGTGAGCAAAATGGCTAGCTGACATTTTCTTTCTCCTCCCTGCTATTTAGACTGCACCTTATAATTTTTGCAGAATTTTTTAGCAATCTTAATTGGAATGAAATTTGTATATGTAGCCTTTAAAATAAAAGCACTGTAGTATGGTGACTACTATGACATCACACACACCTCTAGATGCTATCTTTGAGCTGTTACCAGTGTATTTGTTTCTGTTACCAATATATCTTCCAGGCTGCTAACATTCTAGGTCTCCTAAACAGCATAACTGAATAAATTCCTTGTTTATGCAGTCCCTAACAAAACTTCACGGACACGATATTGGAGATAAGTCTATTCCAAATCTCTGAAAAAAAAGGCCTATTTTAAATGGCTAATTAAACTAGTGCATAAAAACCTGCAGCCTGAGAATACACAACACCCACCCCCTCCCTTACATGCACCTGGGTCTAGAATCAAACCCAGGAGCTGAGATCTGTGAGAGGCACTAGTGTTAACAGTCATGCCATTGTAATGCCTCCTTTTTCTTCACTCCACCTGGTGATAAATGAGAGTTAAATGAAAGAGGGAAATTCAACCTATCAGATTCAATTTTATCATCCCTGAAGATGATTCCTTAACTGCTTCTACATATGCTATTGAAAAGCAAATGTATCAAAGAGTACCTAAGTAGATAACATTGCTTTCACAAATTACTAGGAACCTTGGATCAGTCCTACATGAAGACTTCTCTGAAGAACTGGGCCCAAAATGATAATGCTGTGTTCGGTACAAAATAATAGTATTTACACTGGCATGTTGTGTTTCCATATGTCCATTTCAATCCAGTACTGGGAATGTATTCATCTTCACAAGAGCAATCATAGCTTCCTTCTGTGTTGTTGCACACTGTGTTTAAACCACAGATCAAAGAGTTTTGAACACATTCATCAATATCTGCAGCAAAAGAAAACAGTTATTAGTTCCCATCTGAAAACATTTTGACTAAGATATATGATTTAGACCACTTGTACAAAACCTGAAATCACCCAAACTGAAAAGGATTATCTTTTTACCTTTTGTAAATATCATGTTAAAAAAACATTTGCTGTGATCAACTATTGTCTAGTTTCCATGACAATCCAATTTGAATGAATTTGAATCTACTCAGGTAGGCCTGAATTTCTCTATCACTTGCCCCAGTGGAAAACTCCAGCAAAAAAGAGAAGTTCATAATTACTAGGCATTCCCGTTGACTTGGGTTGTAGTACTGTAAATGAGAGTCAACTAAAAACAGCCTTTACACAATTTTGATTTGGGCAATGTAGATCTTATCTTCTTCTTAAAGATTACTCCAGACAAACCGTTAAAGCCAAGTTTGAGTGGGCTGCTCTTTCTGAATAACTGGTCTGCAAGGTAAATGGCAGTCCAATTGGCCCTGTGTGGGGGTGGCTCAAGGTGTACTCCTAGACTTATTGCCTGAAGAAGTGACGGATTATCAGGCGGTCTTGGCAGCTTTCAAGCAGCAGTTTGGAAGTGCAGCACCTGGTGATTCAGGAGCAGTTTGAGCACTAGGATTGTCAACCAGGGGAGAGACTAGGTGATTTTGCAACTGACCTCCATTACTTCTCCCACAGAGCTTAACATCTGTTTCCCAGTGAAGGGCAAGAGGAGCTAGCGATTCAACAGATTATTTATGGCCTGACTCCTGATTGTGCGAGGAATCAGGTGCACTTAGGAGCCCAAGTTAGCCTGGAAGCGGCACTTCAGAAGGCATGCAAAGTAGAAGCGATCCTCATTGAGTACACTGCTCCTTCACTGGAGACCAGCTGGAGCAGAGGGCTAAGCGCTTGCTAGTCCAAATTCCACCCCGAGGTTCCAAGTCTGGATGTGGAGGACTCACTTGCAGCCCCATTGGAAAATGGAAACAATTTGGGGTCTGTGCAGTAGGGACACAGAAGACTCACCAACCAGTCCCTCCTGAACTACAACCTGGCTGTATGTGCACAACATCCACACTGCTCCTGTACCCCAGCTCTATTATCATATATCAGTCCATGAAAATGGAGGTCATGTTAGTTATTCCTAGATATGGGTTCCACAGCCATCATTGTAACACAGCTACAGAAGAAGAAGCATGCATGTAGGGGCAGTTCTCCAGTGAAACTATATCAGCCATGGTTCAAGGGTCAGGCTCGTTAAGCATGCATTCTAGGGTTGGATTTGTGGATCTGTTGGATCTGGGTTGGATCTGTAGGGCCCAAGCTCATCTGGATCTTCATAGAGTTGTTGTCTCTTACCAACTCTGACTCTATTTCCCCATCTGAAATATCACTAGCTGGACCCAAGAATGTCCATGATTCAGACTGTCTAGGAGAAGAATACTGAGGGATTAAGCCAGGAACAGAGTAAGCATGTCTGGATCCTCAAAAGCAGTTTCAACATATGTTTGCAGTGACACCGCAGGTCCTTGGTCACACCAACATAGTGAAACACCACATTGAGGTAGCAGACGCAGTGCTGATCTGACAGCAACTTCGCTGCCTGATGCCAGTGAAGCAAACAGCCACAGAACATGCCATCTGACAGTCTGTGGAAATCACCTGTGGTGTTGTTCTCAAAGAAAGACAGCATCTGTTAACTTCTGTAAGCTGAACGCAGTAACTAGAAAACACTCCACAATGAGTTTGGATCTTCCCACTGTTTTTTCTTAGTTTTTCTCAATGGACCTGAAAAGTGGCTACTGGATTGAGCTGATTGCGGACATGTTCCCCAAGATGGCTTTCTTGACAGGCCAAGGCTTAAGGGAAATTAAGATCATACCTACAGATGCAGCCATTCAAAATGCGTGGTACAGTAACCTACCCGCAGGGCACC